CAAGTAGCTAAGTAGCTTGCGATGCCTCCCTTCCAAACCTAGACCTAGCCTGTCTGATGATTCTGATTCGTTTGGCCGAGGCTCAACTGGTCGTTTCGGCCACTTCGCAGAAGAGCTGCCTGGGCGAACCAAGCAGCCTTCAGAAGGAACACGGCAACCAGGAACTGCATTGCCTCGGCGCCCAACAGATGACGACGTTCTTTTTCGAGATCTTACAAGGTCCTATAGGACTTATTCTGCGCAGGCAAGCGGCGTTGGGGACGGGGAATGGCTCGCGCGGCTCGCGCCGAGGGTGTTTTTGAGCCAAAAATGTTCAAATTGCTTTGCATGCGCCGCGCCTGCACAGAAACTGGAGTGCAGAGATGGCAACACGTAGGGTGAATGCTCACAGGCCCCAACTCCCAACAAACTGATATGTCCTCCCCACCCCCCCAGAGCTTGGCATCCGCGCCTCCCTCACGCGACATCGACTTCCTGTCCTGCAAGACACATGGGATGCCTGCTCCTGCCGGTGCCTCGCAGTGCACAAGATTCCACACTAGTCACAGTCAAGTTGGCATTCAAGTAAAGAAGGCACCGTAGTCTACTAGTATACCTAGGCTCTTGACGCCAAAGCAGAGCATTCCGAAGGTCTGGTGCTTGGTCTCGCTGACAGATTTCATCTCGATTTGAAGCACCATTCGTCTCTGACAGGTCTCATTTCTCTTGGGCCGGGCACCGTCAAAGGAATTTTGGTGCTCGACTGCACAAATTCCGCCAAAGAAAGCTCCCTGCTCCCTTTTCTGTTCGGGCGCGCCGTCCGATCTATGTACACGAGGGGACGTGCTGTTGTGGCAGTCAAGGGACTTTGCAGTGCAGTGTAGAGAGTGCTTACTCACCGGGGGGTCAGACTCCACCCTTCAACACGACACCTCACCTCACTGTCGGCGCCGATCGCTGATGGCCGGAAGCTCAGTGCCGGCCCGAGGCCATGGTGGCCTCAGAAGCGGCAAAAGAAGGCGAGAGAGGGAGAGGGATCAAAGGGTCTCAGCTTCCACACCTGTAAGCCCTCGCGGGAGATCCAGAGCGTGTAGCGACTGGAGTAGAGAGCTCGAGACGCTCCGCATCGCTCCGCGGCTCACTCTTTCGGAGTTTTCGCCTGGGCAGGTCCATGCCCGGCAGGCCGCCGTCCGGCAAGAAACAGTCCGAGTCCGTGCAGGCCATCGGGGCCTGCAGACTGGCGCGAAAAGGCACAACCGAAAAGGGATTGCCGCATGAACTTCACGCGCTGCGCCGGATCGCACCGCTTCCGGCTGCCAGCTGCGCACGCGGAATCCACGCGGTCCCCACGCGCTTCTGCTGCACCCTTCGGCTCTGCATTCTGCGTCGCCTGGCAGGCGCCGCCGGACCAAATACCTCGACATCAGCATGCCAAACACGAGAAAGAGACAGCACTCTCTCGCACTCGCTAGGGCACAGTAGCTGCCCGGCCGCATACGTACCTTCGAAACAAATGACAAAGGAACTCGAAATCTCAACACTCTGGTCGAAGGGGCCTCTTTGGAGTAAAAGCCCGGTGAAACACCCGGCCCGACGCAGTCCTTTGAAGAGCAAATCTAGAGCTTTTCTCGGTTTTGGCGCGACGCTGTTGGCCTTGTGAGTCTTGAAGCTTGGGCACGGTTGGCGTCGACAAAACCTCGAGCCATGCATTTGTGTGATCGTTCGTGCACCGTGCGTAGCGCACTAAAGCTCCCGCACGAAGCCCGCACGATCGGCCTGCTGCACTAGCAAGGCTTCAAGGTAAATACCTTTGGACGGTTTCTGCAACTCTGCCGCACTGTACGGAAAGCCACTCTGGTAGCAAGTCACTGACTAGACCATAAACCCCAGAAAGGTAGACTGGCCGCCGGAATGACTGGGCAAATGCGCCAGTGCGAGAGCAAGTGCCCCCAAGCATTTTCAAAGGCAAGAAACAAGCTGTGCCCCCTTCTGCCCTGTCCTCATGCGTGGGTCGTGTCTGGCCTCAACAGGAGCAGTCCTCGGTCCTCTCCCTCTCCGGTCCTCTGGGCTCCAGGCTGTTGCGGAGACACCTCTTCCTGGACTCACTCCACTCGAAACTCCCGCCTCGACACAAGGCGACGCTGTTGAGTCCTGTATTCTGTAAGGAAAAAATAAACAGTTCTAGGAGGTCCAGGGGCTTATGACCGTTTTTTGGTGATGATGATGGACTGCATAGAGAAAGTCTTCAGAATCATTCCCTGGCAAATCAAACAGAAAAACAACCCGAGAGGACGAAGATGCTAAGGCTGAGCTTCCTGGGAGGCTCAACAGCTGAGGCCACGGCATCCAGGCTGCGTCAAGCACTTCCAGGCACAGTCCTGAGCAGATCCCATCTGCTCACCGACGAAACGCTTCGAAAGAAAAGAAGCGGCCTCGACCGACTCGGCCGAGTGGCGCCAGCCACCTGGGCACGAGCAAAGCCCCCGCAGGGCGCCTAGTCGCGCGAAGCTCCGGGCCGGAGAACTGGTCGCCGCCTGGACGCAAAGCGAAAAATGGCGCGACGCAGAAAACGGGGGCCGAGCCGCGTTGGCTTTGGGGTCCCCCGCCGTAGACGTCACCCAGCACCCGCTCCCAGCCCTCGGCGAAGCGAGGCGGCGGCTCGTAGACACACGCGTGTCAACCGCCCCGCAGCATCGCATCTACTCCCAGACCGGCCCAGACTCCCAGACGCCTTCGCTTGGACAGAATTGACACTCATCCTGGCACCTCTCCCTTGCACTCCCGGCTTCGACTGCTGCCACTCTCTTGTCTCTTGGGCCCATTGCCCACTCTGAGTCTGCCGGCTTCCGGGCACACCTTCTTCTCCTCTTCCTCCTGCAAGGTGAGATAAAGTGAGACATACTCGTGTAATCCAGAGTCTTTCGTTTGTGGTGCCGCATGTTGGTTTCACCAGAATGGTGCTGCAACTCTGGGCAACATGAACTGACCTAGCTGCCTAGCAACCTGAACGCCTGAACACAAGCGAGGCCCAGGTCCCATCGGTCCTCCAAGTCCGGAAGCAAGAAATCCAGCATTTGAGCCACTGCGCCCTTGCCGCCTTTGGGCTCTTTCTCGCTTTCGCTCCAGTTGCCAAGGTCCTGCGGCAGTGAGACAACAGTGACTGCAACATAAGTGTGAGAAAAAAACACAGATCAGTCCTGGGTAAGATTCATCAGGTTGAGACCTCAACGTCGTCCAGAAATTCCGAGCCACGCGCCGAGGCAATTCTGGGGCGAGGGCTCAGAGCATCCAGCGTGCTACTCAGTGCCCCCACAGCATGCTTTCCGAGGGCATCGAGCCTGCTCTGCGCAGCCTCTCTCTCACCCCTGCCCGGAGCCCATCTCAGGCCGCTGCGCCGACAAGGGTCCTCGGACGCCCAAAGCCCAGCACAAAGCCCCCAACAAAGCCCAAAAGCAGACACAAGGCTGGCCACGCTCGGGCCGGAGCCCGCGCCCGAGACCTCAGCTGCCTTGCGGCTCGCCACAGAAACACAAAAGGTGTGAAAGTTTGGCGATGGCACCTCGTCAAGCTCTTCCAATAGCAGGATCGCCTCAAAACAAAAAACAAAATCTGCAACATCCAACAGCGAGATGATTTCCGTGAAGCCCCGGCAGTGGCCTTGCAAGGACCAGCCAACGATTTCATGACAACTTCGTGTGAAAACGTCTCTTTGTGACCGGTGCCGCAAAAGAATCCATTGGTAAGATCAAGGCTTGAGGCTTAAGTTGGCTGCTTTCGGACATGTTGGCATCGGAATGTCGCTCACCCCGTGCAAGTGTCTAAGCGCCATTACGCAATCTGGTATCACTGCACCAGCATCCCCCTTGCAGCGTGTCGCCGCCCCCCACCCCGCCCCTCGACAATGGTCAGAAACGGGGTTAGGCCAGGGAGGAGAAAATTTCTGACGTCACCAATAGTCGTCTCTGCATGTCATGCCTGTTTATGTTTGCTGCGCCAAGCTGCCCAAACTTGGCCGCAAGAGAACCCTAAACCCTAAACCCTCAAAAGAATCGCATTGGCAAAATCAAGGCATAAGTTGGCGGACACGTCGGCATCAGGAATGTGACCCACCCCAACACAACTCTGAGCCAGATTGTTGCATGCCAACTGGGCTCTGTTCATGTCAACTCAGACACGTGAGCTCGTGACAAGATACTGGCGGCTAACTTCCAACTGCTGTTGCACTGCATCCACATATTCCGCATGACCCTGTGTACTGCCCGCGCAGGCTACACATTGACTTCGCGGACTTAAGGGGGGTGTGTAACCCCACTGGGTGAGAGTGTAGCCCCACCCAGCGGTCACCATGGGACAGGCAAGCAGGAGACTAAAATGGCTGGGCAACATAGTCGGATGTACAAACCCAGAAACCGCAAACCCCACGAGCCGGGGTCTGCCAGCGATGCCACACCCCCCTCTCCCCACAATGCCACTCTGTTCAGGGCTAGAAGGGCTTCCGGTGGGGTTGTGAGCAGATGGGATGCCTGGTTCGCTATTTTGTTTGGCCAAAGCGATGCGTCTCTCTGCGCTGCGAAGCAAAGGCACAAGAGCAAAGGCGCAGCTCGCCTTCCCGGCGCTCAGGTTGTGTTCCTCGCGGAGCTCGCGGAACTCACGACCTGGCGTTCGGAACGCGACAGTGTCAAACTTCACTTCAAAGCCCACGGTGCCTGTGTCCGCTCCCCTGTCCTCTCCGGTCCTCACACCGCAAGGCCGAAACGAAACCCATGAGTGAGAACTTCTCGAACGCAAGGGGGCTCATTGCAGGTCTCGTGTTCTATTGCAGCTGCTGCGCAAAACCACGGGCAAGCTCTCGTTTGCGGCACACCCGTCTGAGTCCTCCAGAGAGAAGACGAAAGATTTCCTGCAGTGCAACGATCATTAACGATCGCGAGAGTCGCCGCGGCATGCAGAGTCGCGTGTGGCAGTGTGTGGATATCGGCCTGGACCTGTTCGGTGCGGCAGCGGAAGCTCCCTCGAAGAGGCAGAGAGCAGAGGAGTATATGCACAGAGATGCATTCAAAAGTGGCTCCGAGCATAAGGCGTACGTAAAGCCGATGCATTCAAGAAGCTGACGTTTGACTCCTGTCGCTGCACTGCAAAACGCCTCTGACCCCCCCGACCGTTCTCCCCGGCAGGCCGCACCTCGGCCGCCACGCCTGCAGAGAGGGAGGAATCCCCCGCCCCCGCGCGCAACGGGCCCCGGCCCGGCCTTGACACTCTGTCGCGTTCTCCGTCGCGTTCTCTGTCGCGCTGGTGCTGTCTCTCGCCGTGGCGCTCCAGGCCAGGTCGTCGATCTCCTTCCGACAAGCTCACGTCTCGTACCGCAACCGACTTGGGAAGAGATAAGCCGAGAGAGAGCGCACATCAGAGGAGCTGATCGTGCACAAGAATCGAAGAGTTGGAAGCCAACTCCCGCACACGTGCACGAACCCCTTTTTCGAGTCGGGAACACTTGCTTCATGAACTTTTGGACTTGCGACCATGGGTAGATCAGCTCGGAACGACGGTGAAATTCATGTGTTGCAACACCGCAACGTCCCACCATGCGGGACGAAGCATATTGCCTGGCGACTCTGGAATACACTCTCCGTGAGGAAATCTGCGAACGGAAAGCTATGTACAAGAGGTCTGCTCGTCCATTGCTAGAAACGAAATAAGAGCATTTGGCAACCAAAGCTGCAAAAACGATCACCGCGAAACCGAGACGATCCACGACAGAAGGTGGGCTCAAACCGGGTCTTGGCCTGTGAGGAGGCGCGACACGCTCCGCAAGTGAGGGGACACCAGCTGCGCACCAATTCTCCTGAGAGTTCGCCCAAAAAATGTTGCGACACAAAACCATCACGTGACAGCGGAGCTTCCAGTAGCTTCCACCTAAGGCCGGATCCATAGAAGTCGTCTTCCTTAGCACAGACAAAGCCACAAAGGCTGAAGTGTCTTGAAGGGCCTGGTAGTTGTCTTTGGTCGCAAGTTGCCGAAGCTTGAGACATGCGGCGCACATGGCCTTCATCCTCTCGCAGGACGTACCATAGGCCGACCAGCGATCATCACGATCCTACAGTTTCAGAAAGCTTCACGCGGCATGGTCTTGTCACAAGGAGGCGACATGCCGACGCTGCGTCCTTGCACTCTGCAATGTCTTCCGAAAGCGCCACCGCCACAGCTGCCAGCGCCGCCAAGGAGGCCCTCCAACAGGCGCCTGAAGACTCCAACACACTCTCAATGCACATTTGAGTGCACCACTTCTTCCGAGGTCAAGTCTCATCTTGGGCTCACGAGGCTCACATGCCTCTCTATCGCTCCCCCCCTTTCTTGAACCACCACAGGCGCCCAAGGGCCCCCAATCCAACGGACCAGCAATCGCCCCCCAAAACGCTTGGGAAACAAGGGAAGTATCTGTCCTTTTCTTCTCGTCGTAGATGAGCTCTGCATAGCTCTGCTTTGCGAGCATTCTGAAACTGCCGTAAGCGGCCGCCGGAGCGGCGGAGCGGCCGCGAATTCAGTGAGAGGTGCCTCCACGGTACTGAAATTCATCCTTTGAGGTATCCTTTAGGACGGCCCTGTCTCACACGCGTCCGATCTGCTGGCGAAGGCGCATCAAGTCCTCACAGCTGCATTGCTGGAAGCCTCTGCACGTTCACAGATTCGAACGTCCCAGCCTTCACCGCAGAGCGGTTCTCGGGATCCAGGCGCACAGCTCCCTCCAAGGACCTCGCGGATACCGCTTTATATCCTGCGGTATCGGGTATCGATAAGAAGCACAGCGACTGCGGTGCTACAAAAACTTGGCCCAGTGTTGAGCTGACGAGCGCTCGCTGCTTGGATATGGCACAGGTACATGGTAGCGGTAGCGGAACCCTGAGACGCAGCCGCACGCCGGGAGAAGAGAAGTGCAGCCGTATAGAGGAAGCACAGCTTGGCTTTTTGATCGCTTAGGAGCAGCTTGGAGCCTGGTCGTGACGGTCGTGTGCGGAGACTGGTACAGTTTTGGTTTTGATCACATGTCATGCCTTCATGCAGCAGTGTGAGAGGTTGACAACCAGCATGGTCTGCATGTCGGCTTCCACATGTCTGTCGCTACGCGCCACAGACGCAGCGGATTGCCGTGTCACGCGCGCTGCTGGTGCGGAGGCTCGGTTGTCATCTAGAAAATGCCCCAGAGTCGTCGCGTGTGCTCTGAGGACGACCGGAGAGTGCGATACCCGGTCAGTGCGAACTCGGGCTGGAGTGTTCAGCCAATTCGATGGACCTGGAGCAAAGACTCTGCGAAGCGGCGAAGCAGAACACCTTCTTTGCAAGGTCAGGATGCAATGCATATGTGTCATATGATGTGCACAGGCTCAGACCTCACGGCGCTCTCCAAGTCCCCCATCTCTGCCTGACACCTCGGCAGAACTTCTAGAGAGTGTCTGAGACTCCGCTTCGAGTCGCCGAGATTCGCCGAGCACCGCGCTCTCCGAGCATGGCCAAGGCGCAGGGATCCTGCGCAGAGGAAAGGCCGCCCCCTCGCGCTCGCACTCGTTCACCCGTTGCTCCTCGGAGTTGAGCTGCAGGAGCCTCCCCAGCCCGGAAGCGAAAACGGAGACATGTCATCGCCCCCCCCCCCTAAACAAAAATTGTAGAAAGGGGTGTTGTAAAGTTTCAGCCGTCAGGCGTGGGGGTCAACTTATCTCCTTACTCATTTTTCATCACACATTTTCACACATCATTTTCATCATCATCTTCTTCTTCATTCCATCCCATCATTTCCACCTCGCTCGTTTTATGCTAGGGGTATCTGGGGTTTTCTCATAAAATCCTAAGAATTTAGTACTTTTACCCACCTCTTTCATCACATTTCATCACCTCACTCATTATTTCATCATCATTTTCAGGGATTATCATAATTCCTAGGTTTCTGGGGTGTTTTAGGTTATAACGTTTTATCAAATATTCATAATAGATTTTATTATGAATGTTTGTGCGGGGTTTTGTCTTGAAGTTTAGTTATTATAATCATCAAATAAGCCATTCAAATAATTTTTTTAAAAAACTTAATCGATATATTTATATCATAACTTATCAAGTCATTTAAATATTCATAAACTAATAATTTACATAACAATCTATCAGGGTATGTTTTTCTATACCAACTATAATTTATTGAAGGTATGTTAGTGCATGTGTTTATATATTCTTTTAACCATTCTCTGTCATAAATCATATGAATAACCCTACAGAAATCATATGTTATTATTCCAAGCAGTTCCTAGCATATGATTTTAAAACGCTTTTGAATTGACTATTTCCATTATCAATTATTGTTTTCATTTGTTGTATTTTCCTTGCTATACTACTATCATATTCATGAAACGTTGATTTTAATGCTTATTTTTTGAAAACATTGTATTTGTTTTTCAATTTTACTCAAGTGCTCATTGCTGCCATGGTCGCTCTCCTCACAAAGCCTGAAGTTGAGGCAGCAGCTATTTCCACCGCCTCTGTGTGGTTTGCCAAAATTGCAAAGCCTCGAATGGAATGCGAACTTCGAAAGCACTCCCCGTACGGGGCTTGCTGTAACACACCCTGCCCCTCACTTGGGTGGGAGCGCAGCGAGGGAGGGAAAAAGATTGAAGTTGGAACTGACAGCCCCCTCGAGCCCGGATTTCGGACGCGTAGCAGCTGGATTTGTGATACGTGCTGCACATACAGATGCTGACGCGGGCATCTTCTGCTGGCAAGGCTCATTCAGCAATATGGGGGTCATTGCTGCCATGGTCGCTCTCCTCACAAAGCCTGAAGTTGAGGCAGCAGCTATTTTCACCGCCTCTGTGTGGTTTGCCAAGGTTAGAGATTCTGCGGGCCAAAATTGCAAAGCCTCGAATGGAATGCGAACTTCGAAAGCACTCCCCGTACGGGGCTTGCTGTAACACACCCACCCCTCCTGCCCTGGCCACGGCGACTAGCAGACGGTGCTGGCCGCAAATTAGAAGTTTGAGGCGCCCAGCGGCTCCTCGCCCTGAGACGACTCTCTGTTTGCCCGGAGCAAATTTTGCAGAGAGGTACCCGATCACAGACCATCAGCAATTAAGCCCGGATGATATGGACGGACGTTGCAGCCCACACAGTGTTGTAGCCAAAACCAAAAACCTGGATTAAAAGAGCACAGCTTGCACTTCCAGCTCATGAAGGCTCACGAACGGTGGCTGAGCTCCAAACCAGAAAGAATTCGTAGAGGTGTCAGCCATCACAATCAGACGAAGACGATGAAGCAGACTGCGAAGTTAAGTTTGTTCCACCAACCAACAACTTCGCAACCCGACTGTATGACGATCAAGGAAACCAAGGAAAGGGTAGAGCCCGAGAAAAACGGCTCCCCTCCTTTGCCGTCTTTAGTTTTGCAGGCCCTGCTGCGAAATCAGCTTGGGGGCCGCCGCCCGACGGCCCATGCACAGTCTTCGGAGTCATCGCACCGCCGAGCATACATGGCGTTTTGGCAGCTTGCCGAGTTAGGCTGCTCATGTGCTGCCAAACTCTTGGCCTCGTGGCTGCACCCTCTGATGCAGGAGATGATGAGTTGGCACTGCCCACGGCCGCCATTGGGTGGAGCCGAGGGCGGGTCGGCAGGCCAAGCAAGGTGTCCTGCAGCAGGACTCCCACGGAACATCCCAAACCCTGCCTGTGTGCATGCATCCTGGCAGGAGTTGGAGATCCCGCGACTTTGCCCACAAGGCGGGCAAAACAGTGATGAGGCTACCGTGTTTCCCTCTCTTTGCCTCGCACTTGCTGTCCTGACTGCCGCCTGCCTGCTTGCCACACTACCTGCTTGTACGTGTGCACACACACACTGGCGCACACAACGTAGAATACATGGTATATACAAGAGACGACCCCACGCCCAACACAAACCCGACACTAGCACGTTTTGGTGGCAGAGCCGCGTCGGTCCCAAGTCCGGCGGCCCAGCTCAGTCCTTTCACAGAACAACCTCTTTTGAACCTGGGCTGGGTGAGGTGAGGGTTCCCCCCGGGCCCCCCACGGGGGGAGAACCTAACAGTGGTAGTAAGCCACGGCCTTCCCAAGGAGGGAAGATGGCGGGTGGCGCGACCCAACACCGGATTACTACACAGGGAAGCACACAGACACCACGTCACGATTCGCCACACCATTCTCCTGCAAAGGCACAGCAAATTGACCATGCAGGAAAGGGTGCCGACGTCACGGCCCCTTGCTCCCACAACACCGGTCAGACCACATCCGCAAAACGGCACCAGGGTCGAGGCTCCAGGCCTCCCCTGCCTCTCTGGCTATTCATCGTGGCTCTAGCGGGTATGCAATGGAGGCCGACCCAGGCTGCTGCTACTGCTCCCATGGAGCACACAGCGGGCTCTAAACGAGCCATACGGC